TTTTAGCAGTACAGAGGCTACGAAAGATTTTCCAGAGGACTTACTCGGAGGCCAAATTTTCTCAGATTACATCAAGATCGAAAGGTATTTCCTTCAATGTTTCCTATTCAACAAAATAATACGATTAATGCAATGAAAATGTTTTTTTTTATCCAGATGTTAAGATGATGGAGAAATACGTACACGAAACCGACATTCTAATTGTCGGTGGTGGTCCAGCGGGATTATCGGCAGCTATTCAGGCCCGTAGACTGGCTGAGAAACATAGTAAGGAACTCAGGGTTACCCTTGTTGAAAATGAGTGTGCAATAGGTGGCCTTGTCTACAGTGGTGCTTGTCTGGATCCAATTGTTTTGAATGAGCTCTTTCCAAATTGGAAAGAATTAGGTGCGCCATTAAATACTCCTGTTACAGAGGATAAATTTGCATTTCTCACGAAAAAGAGGAGAATATCTATACCTATTTCCAAGGGAATGTGTCACCATGGAAATTACATAGTAAGGTAAGTAGAAATTTAATGCGGTCATCAAATTTGTGAATATGAATAAAGGCTAAATAGTACATTTGTTTTAATTATAAAAATTGGTATGTCTGTATAGATTAAGCAACATGGTGAAGTGGCTTAGCGAGCAAGCAGAAGCCGCTGGTGTCGAGATATATCCTAAAAACGAAGTGATTGATATTTTATATCATGAGGATAGATCTGTTAAAGGAGTGATTACATATGATAGGGATTTGTCACCATGTTTTGATCCAGATATGATATACTCAAACAAAAATTTTGGTAAACATAGGGAGCTTTATGCGACATGTACTATATTTGCGGAAGGTTCTGGTTACTTCCATTGTTTGGAGGATAAGTTACGGCCGAAATTTAATCTTAGGAAAGATTGTGAGCCACATGAATACGGTCTTGAATTGAGACAAGTAATTATATTGTTATATCTAAAAAAAATTAAAATTAAACAAATATAAAATATTTTATATTTTAAAATGAAATATCTTTTGTAAGATTTGGGAGATAGAGCCAAGCAAGCATCGACCTGGAACAATGGAGCGTACAATTGGTTGGCCACTTCATAGAGTTATATATGGTGGATCATTTCTTTACCATTTGAATGAAGAAAGACCTTTAGTAGTGATAGGTTTCAACCATGCATACGGTAATCTTTATGGGCGCAATGACATTGAGACTTTGCAAGAACATCCTAGTATTGAACCAACATTTGAAGGAGGGAAAATGTTGGTATCTTTATACATATATATAATACGAAATTTTAATTGCATTATTTTGTACTATCTATGTTTGTTTTTCGTAATTTTCAGAGTAGTCTCTGAAATGGTGAAGGTGGTACAAGGTGGATTTCAATCTATTCCAAAACTTCATTTCCCTGGTGGTTGTCTTATTGGAAATATGGCAAGTTTTGTAAACGTGCTCAAAATGAACGGAATTAATTATGCTATAAAAAGTGGCATATTAGCTGCAGAAAGCGTTATTGAGGCGATTATAGATGCAGAAAGTAATACCTCACGGACGAAAGGCTTAGAGCCGAAAACGTATACAGATAAAATAAAAAATAGTTGGATCTATAAGGAATTGAAAGCCGTAAGAAATATAAGGCCCAGCTTTAACTCTTATCTTGGTCTTTACGGCGGTTTAACGTACTCTGGATTCTCTATGTTAGTAGGCGGAAGAGAGCCGTGGACTTTGTCTCACGGAAGTAAGCAGTACTATGTCTTATCGAAATAGAATAGGGAATACGAAAAAATATTTGGAAATATCGATGTTTTTATGAAATAAATAATACAAATTACTGATAAATAATTATGAGTTTATATAATTATTCTTTGCGTATGCAGCCGACTTAATGACATGAATACCAACATATCTATATTGCTATACATTAATAAAATATTTAACTTAAATATAATTTCATAAAGTTTCAAAAAATGAAAGGAAAGAAAATAATTTTTTCGCGAAGTAACTACTCCGAATTCGGAATCTTCGCTTTCTCTCTCTCACTCTCTCCAACTATACATATATGTATAGTATATATTTTGTTACATTTTCTTCGAATCATGGTTCGAATGAAACATGATACGCTGCATACATCGCGTGTTATTGGTGATTCATTAGATTTATTCCATATTGCTTGAAATCTAACATTTTTGCAATTAAAAAAAAAATATATATATACAGGGTCCATTATGAAAGTAATGAGCATTAGTCTGGGAAAAATAGATTTATTGATCGTACTTGTACAAATGCTCAAAATTTTTTAAAATATAATTAATATAAATAAATCTATTTTTCCCAGATTAATGCTCATTACTTTCATAATGGACCCTGTATTTCAAGCAATATGGAATAAATCTAATGAATCACCAACACGCTATGTATGCAGCGTATCATGATGAAGTTTCATTCGAATCATATGATTCGAAGAAAACGTAACAAAATATATGGTCGTGCGCAATCAGATATGCTCTTGTTCTTTTCCTCTCTTCATCTCTTTCGTCTTATATATATAACGTTAAATTACCTCACGATCTCTCTCCCGCCGGAAATCATTTTAAATTCCATTCATATCTATCTATACCCAATGTAGATTAACTTTGATCTCGCGATTTAAACTTACTTTCAATTTACTTTTTATTCTTTTCTAATCCTATAATTCTCAGAAAAAAATAAGAGTAAGTTAAATCAAGATTAAAATTTAAATTGCGTTGCTAGAAATGGACATCACAGCCGTGTAATTAGTTCGTTTTACTTGCATTTTCTACAGTCGGATTTATATATATATATATATATATATATATATATATATATATATATGGTATATATATATATATAATCATTTTTACACGCATCTGATTTCGTCACAAGATTCATTATTGAACATGGCGCGTAATATTCGCGCGAGATCAGTTTTGTTTATCTTGCATTACGCTTCTGGTTAACGACATAACTTTTACTTTTTCTCGTGCTGTTGAATGATGAACAAATTATTTTCGTGTATTTCTAATTTATTAATTTCATCATATACCAAATATACAAAATCTAGATAACATATAAGGAACATTTTGCATATTATGTATATATTATTTTAAATTTTGGACGTCAACACTATTTTTCCTAATATTACATTTTTTATAACATCCTCTTAAAAATGTATGAAAAATTTGGCTATTTCGAAATTTTGTTTAATAATGAAAATATAATGAATCAATCTCGTATTTTCAAGGTTCAATTTGATGTGAAATCGAACGTTTGGTGTTTTATTAATGTATAACTGCGAATAAGTGACATTTATTTAGAATGAGAAAACTGTTAGAATATTTTATGCATGATTTTACGAAAAAGAAACGAGAACCGGCCTTGCAGCGCATCAAGCAAAGCAAAAAGACTGTTTTGAATGTTTTCCCAGGAAGCCTTCTCTTCGCCGCGTGACAAAACCGCTAAACAAGGTGGCGATTTCAATAAACGTCGCGCTACTCGGTTGATGTCATCCTTAGATATTTTATCTGTAAGCATAATTTTTTTTGTGAGTGTTATTGAAGAGCCGGAATTTCATTAAATTACAAAGAGCTTTGCAACACTTACCAATGGCTTGTATGAAATATTCTGGCCGTTTTCTGAAGCCAGTCGCTAGGATATGTCTGCCAATGTCCTCAAATACAACAAACCGATGTTCCAGTTTCATAAGTAGCATCGACTGCAATTGTTTCTTCGCTCTCTGTACGAAAGATAAAAGAATAAAAAAGAATTCTTTTCATGTATATGATTGATATATCATTAACTGATTCGGAAATGTAAGGCAATACCATACCGCTAATTCACTATCCGAAATTTCTTTTGTCATGGTGATCATCTCATGCACAATTACTTCCACCATATCCTTCACTTGAAACGATGCGCACGAGGCGTGAATAAAAAATAGTCCAGTATCTGCATAACCAAAATTGCATGCAGTTGCACTGTATAACCCATATCTGTAAAAAAACTTTCTTGATGTAATGTTCTCATTAAAAGTCTCAGAGCAGATATAAACATATCTTACTTATTCACCACATTGGTGTACAAACGCGTGTACATGCCTATTCCAGGACTGTCAGCGCTAAAACTGCCGCCACTTCCCATCATCATGGTTAATACCCACATAGCAACAAAATCTGAATCTTGATGAGAACAGCCTTCTAAACCTATTACAATATGTGATAATTCAGGCAAGCCACTGGTGCAAATTGGCGCTTTGTATTCTTCCTATTAAATACGTATAAACAAATTCTTCATCTCCCTTAGCTTTCCCATAAAAGTAAAATAATTTTAGTATGCACTTTATATAGATAATCATACCAAAACACATCCTCCAGTATATTGTGCAATGGACATATCAACAGTATTTGCATTTGGCAGAATAAGATCAGGTTGTTCCTCCCAGATAGATTTTTGATCTACAAAATATCTATATAAAGATTATTATTATATGAATAAAAAGTTTAAAAAAAAATTGTGTAATATATTAATATATCATATATTAAAATAATCTAATGCCATCTATAGAAAATTTATGACTCTTACTTAGTAACGGCGTGGACCAGGTCATCATGTTCAACACCAACTCCAGCAACTACCATTCTACTCGGTACATAATGATGCTTGAGATATGTATGTAAAATTTTCCTATCGATTTTTTCAATATTCTTTTTGGGACAAATATTAGGAAAACCTAATGTATTGTGTCCATACGCAGCCTATCAATAACAGATCCATATATAATTATATCCTTTTTCCTTTACAATAAAAAAAATACATTTGTAATTCTGCTATCTAGGATATACCTAGAACGATTCTTTTGACCTCACAGAATGAATCATGTCCATCAATATCTCTTGTTCTGGCCTATATAAAGATTCCAATTCAGAATATATTATTTGTCTGGCAATTCGTACCTGGAAACGATTTAATTATATAAAATATATATATATATGTATATGTATATATATATATATGTATATATGTACACATATATATATATATATACATATATATAGATATATATACACACACACACACACACCCTGTATATATATATATACTACTCTACACACATACAAATATGCTGTACAAGAGCTTTATAGTTTGATATTTGTTATTAATGACAAGTAATTTAATTAAATAATAGAATATACAACAATGCTTTCTTATAAAATATTATACATTATACACACCTCCTCCTCCGTAATTTGGGGCTTTAACACAACGTCACCTAGAATTTGTGTTACTCTATCCAACCCGCGACGTTCCGCCGATACTGCATAGACAAATGTGTCGCGAGACACTTGACAGTTGCATTCGCATATACCGCCATATTTTTCTAGCGCCACCATTATCTTAGTCTTGCTGTCAAATGTGTTTGAAGACTGTAACAAGTAGAATAGTTTTGTACAAATTTATAGGACATATGTATAGGAATATTAAGAAAGACCATTAATTGTAAGATATGGAATATCAATCAATAGATTTAAAATGATTGGAAAAGATTGTACCAATTATAAGTACAAATTAGAGATCAACAATGTTTAACACTTGCTTAATTACGCTTGCTAAGATTAACTGTAATACTTGATGAAAATCTTACATTAAATGCTAACTTTTCAAGGAAGTGCGAAATGCCTTTGGGATATGCCACTTCATATCGCGGACCCGAGTCAATAAGGACTGAAAATTAAGATAATAATATAATTAATATTCTGTATACAAATTTAGTACAAGTTGATACATCAAGTTGATACAATATCGAAATTACGCTCAACTTACCACCTATGGTACAAATTTGTCCAAATCTATTTTCGGACGCGACTTTCAGGCTAATAGGTTTAGAAGGCTGTTCTCATCAAGATTCAGATTTTGTTGCTATGTGGGTATTAACCATTTGATAGAACTGTAATCTGCGTCGTTTGATCCTCTTTTGCAGTCGAGTAAACGGCTCTAGGCAAATTCGGGATGGGTTTTGTCAACGGTGGAAATGATGTAATAAATTTCTTTTGTTTTTGCTTCAAATTAAGATCAGGTATTCTTTGAGAGGAGTTACATCTTTGCCAGACGTCGAGATATTGCGAGCGGGTTGAGCTGAAACAAACAAAATAAGCAAAGTATATATATATATATATACTGGGTGGACCATTTTAATCCATCCAGGAAAATAAATTAAACAAAGATTAAAGTTAATCTACATTAGCAGGAATGGATATAAAAGAAGAAAATTAGATACAAACAAAACAAAGTAGATACAAAAAAATAAAAATTTAAAGATTGAAGTAAATTAAATTGTGATTAAAGTTACTCAGTTCAGAGTGAAGCCTTTACACGTTGGAGTTGGAGTTGGAGTCAAAGATTAAAATTAATTTACATTGAAAGAAATGGACTTAACTCCAACTCCAACGTGTAATGGCTTCACTCTGAACTGAGTGACTTTAATCACAATTTAATTTACTTCAATCTTTAAATTTTTATTTTTTTGTTATTCTTAGACATTCTGGAAATAGATAAAAAGTAAGTTCAAAACCGAGATTAAAACTAATTTACATATATTGGTGGAACAGACATCAGAAAAAGATGATGGATAAGTTAAAGTTGATCTATATTGTTAGAAATATATATGCAGGACATTAGAAAAATACACTATTCTATAGCTTCGTTTCGTGAATGATTCAATGTCACATTGTCACAGTTACCTTTTTTTAATCGTAACGATTAATGGCCTTTGCAACATCCTCGAGAACATTTTGTCAACCCGGAGAGAATTGTAGCATATAGATGTAATTCTAACTGGCGCTGAAAGCTATAGAACTCTATAACTAGAGACGAGTGATTTATTTGAAAGTTTATTCGAGACTACTGGCGGAAATCGTTGACGATCATGTACATTGAAATGAGAAGTCGCCGGTATAAGGGTGAGAAGGGGAAATAATGACGTATGTTTACTTTAGTTCGAGACAGCTGATCGGAAAATAAGAAGGAATGTTAAGGTCTCGGCATCGACACAAAATATGACTCGAATATAACACATATGAAACGTTGAATTAAATTTTAATAAGAAAATGTGAAATATGAATATAAAGATACGAGAACTTTAAGCGCAAACTCAAATCTGTTTATAATCTGTGATTATTTAATAATCAGGTATTTTACTAATTAAGGTATATATGATACGCGTGAAAATTGTTATACGTACTATTTTGTATGCCAACGAATGATAGGATCTTGATTGCCATAATTTAAAAAAAAATATTAAAAAAGATAATACAAAAATATTAAATTTTATGCATATTTTTTTATTCCCACTTGATGCTACTTTTTTATATTATTGTCTTTGTAGGAAGAACAGATAAGATGTAAAATGTATTTTAAAAAATTTAAAGTATCTTGTATTTAAAATTACTTTTTGCTTTAAAGTATATAAATTAGAATACTTATCTAAAGCGATGTTTATAAAATATGATTTATTTAATGTTTATATAATGATTTCAAAATTAAAGAATGATTATATAAAATAAATTGAATAATATTCCATTTTAATTTAATTACAAAATCTAGAAATGTAAAAACATTAAAGTTCAGAAATTACCTTTTTTTTTATCTCGATCAACTTATCAACCGATGTTTTCAATTTTTATTAACATAATTATTAGTTATTAATCATGTTATTTTTTATTTATAGCTATTAAAAATAAAAAATAGATTTCTGGATTGAGTTGGAGAAATAAAAAAACGAAAAAACACAAAATATATGCCAATAAGAAATCTACATATATATTTATATACAGGTTTGTATTATCACTTTCTGGACCGTAGCGTGGAACAGATAAGATGTAAAACTGTATGTAAAATATTTAAAAAAATTTAAAGTATCTTGTACTTAAAATTACTTTTTGCTTTAAAGTGTATAAATTTTAGAATAGTACGTATCTAAAGATGTTTATAAAATACTGATTTTAATATTAAAAAATGATTATATATAAAATAAATTGTATAATATTCCACTTTAATTTAATTACAAAATCTAGAAATGTAAAAACAAAGTTCAAAAATTAACTTTTTTTTATCTCGACCAACTTGTCAACCGATTTTTATTAACAGTTAATTAATATAATCGCATGTTATACTTTTTATTAGCTATATTAAAAATAAAAGATTTCTGGATTGAGCTGAAGAAATAAAAAAACGAAAAAAAAAACAAAAATGCCAAATAAGAAATCTACATAATTATATATATATATGTATACAGATTTGTATTATCGGCACTTTTTGGACCGTAGCGTGGAACGGAACCAAAAGCCGTATGCGCCTCGCACATGTTACCCATCGAAAATAAAATATCGTCGCAACTTCTACGTAGTTCCGGCGCGGAACTTCCGTGTACGTTGAGGCGCTGACCAACGTGCTCCTGAATAAAGTGAATAAACGCGAGCATGTCCGCAAGCATCTTCTCTCGGGTCTCTCTCTACACAAAAGTCAGCAGCAGCAGCAGTGGCAAGTGAAATCATCGCGGCGAGAAGATGGTGGTGACGGTGGCTTCCGTGCGTCAACAACTCAGTAATTTGGCGCATTCCGGCGGTTCCCACAAAGACCAGGCCGAGAAGTATGTGCGCCGCGCGTAACCGTGGCCCGATCCAATTGTACATTCATCGAGCATATTGTTTCTCTCTGTTTATAGATACCGCTCAACCCTGGACATGATATTGTTGTCTTCCGGCGAGGAACTAGTCGATGCCCTGAAGACGTTCATCGAAGCAAGTACGTTATTTTTATCCCGTTGGCACTTCGCACTCGCGGATGCGAACAGAAGTGTCAAACGGAACCTATATATATATATATACACATGTATCCTCCGAGACATTTGCGTGAGATCTGCGCGACGATCACGCCGCATATAGGTTAATAAGAGGATTGCAATTAATCTACTGGAATAGTTTAAAGGTGGCCGCGCGGGGGGATAAAGTATCATGATTGTAAAATATATATCTATATTCGAGAGATATAATACATAGTTTTATCTTAAAATGATTTAATATTAAAATATTTATGTAATGTGATCATCTTCAACGTCACATGAAACAAGATTGGAGTACCGATCATAGTTTAGCATCACAATGCATAATTGATATGTCATATTTTGTCGATGCTTGTTTTTAGCGTTCAACGAAATAACTCTTGAATAAATTTTTATTATAGTTGTAAACGAAAACGTGAGTCTGGTAATTTCGAGACAAGTACTAACCGACGTCAGTAGCCGTTTACTGTTTCTGCCTGATGAGATATCAAAAGCAGTGTCGCATTATACACTGGACAAGGTAAACCTCATTCTCCGATTGATTATGAAGTGAAAATGAGAGTAATTTCAATATTGAAGTCTTATTCTGACGAAAATAAATACTGTGTTTAACCACGCAGGTTCAACCACGAGTGATCTCCTTTGAGGAACAAGTAGCTAGCATAAGGCAACATTTAGCTGATATTTATGAACGTAATCAGAACTGGCGAGAAGCTGCAAATGTTTTAGTTGGCATACCACTGGAAACAGGACAAAAGTAACATATGCATATACCACAGTCAAGTCCTGCTACTGTTTACACACGTGACACTAACAAAACTTATCTCTTGTCATTTCAGACAATACACTATCGATTACAAACTCGAGACTTATCTTAAAATTGCTAGATTATACTTGGAAGATGACGACCCAGTGCAGGCTGAAGCGTTCATCAATCGAGCGTCACTTTTACAGGTAGTTTCGTCGTTCCTCTATCATAAACTTCTTATGTTTAATTATTTAATTCTGTTTTTTTTATTGTTCCATAGTTATTTAATTTAATTTTTTTTTATTCCATAGGCCGAATCTAAAAATGAACAATTACAAATCTATTACAAAGTGTGCTATGCAAGAGTACTAGATTATAGAAGAAAGTTCATAGAAGCGGCTCAGAGGTACAATGAGTTATCATATAGGTCCATCATTCATGAAGATGAACGCATGACTGCTCTTAGAAATGCATTGATTTGCACAGTATTGGCTTCTGCAGGCAAGCGATTGACCAAACACACGTTGTTTCACTTCTCGGACCGTTGTATTCACATTGACATTCTTACAGGACAGCAGAGAAGTCGGATGTTGGCTACACTGTTCAAGGACGAGCGCTGCCAGCAACTCCCCGCTTACTCGATCCTCGAGAAAATGTACTTGGACCGTATCATTCGGCGCTCCGAGCTGCAGGAGTTCGAGGCGTTGTTGCAACCTCACCAGAAAGCGTGCACCATCGACGGATTGGGCTCCACTATACTCGACCGCGCCGTTATCGAGCACAACTTATTGTCCGCTAGTAAATTGTACAACAACATCTCGTTCGAGGAATTGGGCGCGTTGCTGGACATCCCGCCTACTAAAGCGGAAAAAATTGCTAGCCAGATGATCACTGAAGGCAGAATGAACGGATACATAGATCAAATCGATTCAATAGTACATTTCGAAAGTGAGTTGCTTTAACTTTAATTAGTATTACTCTTTATACACAATTAGGAGCTAACGTTCTTCTTTTCCTTGCAGCACGTGAGACCTTACCGACATGGGACAAACAAATACAATCCCTGTGTTATCAAGTGAATCAAATAATCGAGAAAATAGCTCAAACGGAGCCAGAATGGATCGCAAAAGCAATGGACGATCAGATGGTGCATTAATATAGATTTTGTTTAACACAGAGAAATGTCAAATGAGGAATACAGGAATCATTTACAATATGTACACAATACACCGCCAGCCAAAATAGTAAATATTTATATAGCTCATTGTTGAAACATAAATATCGTCCGATGCACGCCGTTCATTATGTTTTGGTTAATTTTTACGCAAAATCTTCCGCTCCAAAAATATAACCGCATTGTTTTTAGAATTAACAGTAATTAATATTGCGCGTTTTCAATACGTTAATCGTATATTGCATTCTTAACTGCTCTGCAAAACCAATTCTATAATTTTGTAATTTAAAAAAAAATCACACCATACACATCATACACAGGTGAATCCAAATTTATTAAAAGGAAATGTTAAAAGAATTGTTTATTTGCCGTCGATTTAGGTAAAATCATTGTAGATGAGAAAAAAAAACAATGTGTAAGTTCTTCTTGTAAATAAATCACATTCGTACTTCGTACAACATTCTTTACTGAATCCGTACATAATCCGATAATAATTGTCGAAGGGAATAAAAGTCACTTTTTATCTCACAAACAATTATTATTTCCTATATAAAATAAAGCAGTGGAATTATACACGTATGCAGTACTTATGTCTTTTGAAAATATATATGACCATTATCATTAATGTATACGTGATTACGGATGAAAATTCTACAAAGGAATATACTTTGATTAATATCTGAGGCAAACATCATAATTTAGCCAAACTGGCAGTATTTCTTAACAAGGAACAGATATAGAAATATCTGTTCCTTACCTCCAATAAGAGAGTGGTGTATGAATATTTTCTAATTATAATTTATACAAGTATGCATAATCGTATTATTTATCTGAATTAGAGAAGGCATCATATTTTTATATTAATATGGTATGATAATAATACCAAACAGAAAAATTGGTATACATTTACCATCAACCACATTGTTAACACTATTTGATTGCATAAAATATGCATGTCATACATTCTAATCTGGTCCTATCCAGCAAGAGATAAGATTTGTGATTTACAAGGTTATATATAATCTGATTAAAACAATGTAACTTTTCATAAAAATATCTCGCATTGTTTCAAAATTATGTTATTTATATATGAAAAATTGCGCGTGTGAATACAAAGAATATAAACATATTTTTAATAATATGGGTATATATTACATAAAAGCAAATGAAACAAAATTTTTCATATTGTAAATATCTTTTTTTTACATTATTATATCTTTATTAATGTCGACTTTCTATTGCCTTTTCTGTCTCTTTCTTCCTCTCTCTTCACTTTACATTACTCCAGTGTATTATTTTTATGGAAAGGATCTCAATTAATCAGGAACTGACAAAAACTGCGTGTGGAACTTCAGTACGACTAACAGTATAAACTTGTATGCGTAATTCATTTCATGCGATTTCATTTTGTTCAGAAATATTGTTGATTCATGGTCATAACAGTGTATAATATAAACTAATGTGCTCATCAACTAATCTCAAATAATGATATTTTGTGGCGTCTATTCAAGGATCAACCGATCTACATGTTACAGGTAATACTTTATTTGAAGCACGTACTGTCACGCCAATTTTTTTTTTATGACAAAGGTCACGAAATATTTATATTCGTACGGGATAAATTTTTCGCTTTTTCATAATAAGCATTACTTTTTTTTTTATATATATATAATACGTATTTAAGCCTGAAGGTCTAATGCAACGCCATACTTGTGGCCACCAGAGCCGAAGTTCTTCCCGTCGATGTTTGTAGAAAGCGTCAAAGTTACACCTGTAAACAGATATTCAGTTATTTAGCGACGTTAGTTTAGTAGTATACGTAAATGCTTTTGTAGGAAAATTTAAATTCCTTAACTATATATTGCATAAATTATAGGCTATTGTGAAGTTGTCACTCTGCCAAAAGCTTATTCTCTCTTTAGTGTGACTCTTAGAGCACAAGTTATTAATAGAGTGTTTTGCTAATACGCGAAAAACATGTTTTTTTTTCCTATTATATGTGCGTACCATAACGTGTGTAAAATATCTTCGAATTTATAAATCAAATTATTTGTAACAGATTCACGTTACATTTTGCACTTACGAAGATCTTAAAATACCTTCTTTTGTTTCAATCTTTAATACAAAAATGTTTTGTATCATTAACTCACCGTCACGCAGTTTCTGTTGATATCCCAAACCTATTTGAAGATTAGAATTCACTTTGGCTCTAATGCTAGCATCCTTGTCGAGATTATACTTCGCGCCAATACCAAACTGCGTTACGTTATTACTGGAATTATATGCCAAGTTAATTGCTCCCTCCAAACCCGGCTTTATTTTATGGTAAATGGAGCTATTAAACTCACGACCATTGTCCCTAGAAATATATTAAATATCACGTTAATCAAGTCGAGAATTATGGTGTATTACATTTCGTTATTAAATACTTACACGGCGCTATGAAGAGTAAAATCAGAAGCAGTAAATCCAAGAGCAAAATTATTTCTCGTCAGTTTGTTTCTCTGCGAGTCAAAGGATGCCTGATAGCCACCCAACCATCCTGAAAAATACATTAACATATCAATTTAAATACTTTCAAATAAACACAATTAACATTTATCGAATGACAGGCTTACTTTTTTTATTCATAAAATATTCCATTTGGAACAAGGAAATGTATTTGGGACAAAGGAACGGGCACATAGAGAAGATTAAGGAAATCTAAATTGAAATTTTTATCAACAATTTTGTCAAAGAGATAAGATGATTAATTTTATTATTTTTAACATTGATTTCAAGCTTTAATGTATAAGGGACGTATCTGATATTAAAATTTACCTTGATAACCCACAACGGCCGAGGCATAAATTAGGGGTCCCGCGGACAGACTGAGATCAAAGTCAGCATTCGCAGACACATTTTCATGTTTATAAGTCGTCTTCAGTTTTCCAGTTTTGGAGCTGCAAATAGCGAAACAGAAAAAAAATGAAAGATCCAAATATCACTACATATCGTAGAGCATTTGGAATATTTGGATATTTGCAAAATATCTTACCCGGTTTGTGGGGAGAAGGTACAGCTGTAACCAATCGTGAGACCGTTGAGCAACTTGTCGGCGAGGGTGACCTCGGTCCCAAGGGTATTGTCCGTATTCCACTTCTCGCTAAATGTCAATCCGTGTTCCTTGAACTTGTACTTGGTTTCCAAGCTACCGAACACCTTTCCCGTGTCCTGATTGGACACACCGCCGCAGCAGAACTCTACGTCGGAAGTGGTCTTGGTTTTCACATCTAGCTTAAACAGACCGAAGTGGTAGCCTTGACCGAACACGTCACGGGCACTCCTTCCCAGGTCGTTGTACGTTGGAGGAGCCATGTTTCTGCAACGCCGTAAAAATATCTATTCAATGGCACGCTATTGCTCCCCGCTGACAAGTAAATCTGGACCAGGGGGTGGATTGGAAAAAGACAGAGAGTCAATACAGGCGACTATAATATAAAAACGAACTAAATTTAATTTGAGATCATATGCCAACAATGTATTCCATTCTATATGACAAATACAAGTATATACATGTGCATTAATCCATTCAAGGAACGAAAGCAAAACGTTTATACGCGCGGAGGTGTTCTTGGAGCATGCCACGTCCGCGCGAAACCGATGAAAGCTACAGGCTCTTTCTGGCTTTTCGTTAAAAAAAAAAAAAAAAGAGAGAAACTGAAAGTCACTGTCACCGAGAGCCTAACGCAAACAGATCCACCTCGGTGGATCCGTTATCACGAGGTGCGAGTCGCAGTGCACGTACGAACGGAATAGTATTGACCTGTCTCGCGAGTATTACATAAGCTCGACCAACCGATGATGCCGCGATCGTTCGGTATTCTAACATAGAAGTGTCGCCGCACGTCAGGAGGCCAGCCTCTGCTCGTCCGACGACGCGAGTCCTTTCCGAAAAATCCGATCCCGTTCGGCGTTCGGCCGAGAGATGCGCGCCGTGCGAGGCCACACGGCAGACGACATTGCGATCGCGATCCCCCTCGAGGTGCCGGTTTCCCGAAGCGAGACCGAGGAACCGTTTCTCGCTTCGTCTCTCGCGCTCAACAACCCGATATTCGGTCGGTCTTGCGAACTGCCCCGAGGCTCCCTGACGGAGCTTCCGTTGCGGGGTCCAAATTCCGCGGCGATGATATACTTACAGTCTTCGTGGACACGAGACGGAAAAATGCGCAACTCTCTTTCGCAGATGTAACGTCGCGCAACGTCGCGGGAGACGAGACAGAGAGAGAGCGGAGAGAGACCGGAGAGAAAGAGTCCGCGGACGGTGGGCGCGCATGCGCGCCGCGACGTTGCGCGAGAGAAAAAGCGCCCGGGCCTATTTCTGCGCGACGCGACACGGTGGCGTTCCGTCGGTTTCCGCGGCGCGCGTCCCGCGGCGTTTTGGATCCGAATCGCGGCGACCGAACCTGGGAACGTTCAAGTCACGGGACTCGGGAGTACCGTTCTGTCGGGATCTCGTCAAACACTTATTGGCCGTTCAGGCGAATTCGAGCGAGAACGTTCGAATTCGTCGCACGTGAACAACTCGAGCTCGATTTCGATCTGAAGTCAGGTTCGAATTACTGTTCAAATTTAATTGCGCGTACAGGGCGATCGAAACTCGGATTTAATTCGTTGCTTGCAGAAAAATTTCTACAATTCTAATCGACAAATATAAGTTTGAATTTAATTAATTGTAATTGTAATAAATACAATTAAATATATAATTCGTCGCTCTAATCATCATCCTACATCAATCCTTTAGGTATCGATCTTCCCTCTTATGTGTTGGACACAAAATTGATATAATTACTTTTGTTCACGTTGATAATCATATTTCACAAATTAATTGAAAATTTGGTCGAACTCATATCATCAGATTCTGAGCTTCTAAACAGGTTGGATTGATCCATACATTCGAATCTTACACACATATATGTATGTAACACACAGGAATATTTAAAATAATTTTACATATATATACTTTTATTTTTCTGCAATCAGTTAATTATTATATGATTTTAACTTTGTTCTCCACAGTTATGAAATTCAATATAGATAATCGTAATTTGGTGGCAGATTATTGAAAAGCAGTAATGAGGAGTTACGATAATCGATTTACGTATACGAGAAAAGATCGTACTCGCGGTGCACAGTTGCGGGCGTGCGGAAAACGATGGAAGCTTTTGGATCCCGTCTGTACGTTTGCAGTCCCAAAAATACATTAGCCGCGTGGTCGCGACGTTTCTGATCGCAATGCGTCGCGTCCGAAGGCGGCACAAATCTTGCTACACGCCAAACTAAATTGTACCACTGGCAGAGCTTGAGCGCGATATTTTTAATAAGCCGGGAATATATATAAAGCTTGCGGCAAACACGATCTTCGGCTCAGTTCAAGCACAGGCCTTCAATCGATGCGGTATCAGCGTTTTATTGACGAGGGAACTTACTTCTCAGCGGCTTAATTCTCGACCGAGATGTCGCAAGAATCGGTATGTCTTTACAAACTTATTAGATCAAACCGATTAATTTGTATAAATTTAAAATCAAATGACACCTGTATTGTGCTTTATTTCTTTTTTTATTGATACGTGGAAAGAAAGATTAAAGGAATGAGGAATTCTGTAGATATTTTATACCACAAATAATTTTGTGAACTAATTTTATTAATTAACTGCTGAGATCGATCTCTTTATGACAGATGTAAAAATTGAAACTTTAATTTTACAATTTGCGACATAATCTTATAGTTTTTATAGTTCTAACGACACACGAATTTTTATATTTTTTTAATGTTTCAGAAAAATGACGCATCCGCATCGCGGTCATACGAAGTACTGCAGAATGAACAGGTTGGCAGGTAAGAAAAAAAAAAGAAAGGGTAGAGTTGATATATTGTTCAAATCTAAGGTAAAATATGGAATCGGAAGTCTATAATAATGCCAGACAGGAAGTATATTCTCTTAATGAGAGACTGCATGGTGCATTAAGTCGTACGGAGTAAATTAAAACATTTGCATGAATATACCGCGGTAATACAAAATTGATAAATCGTCTAAATCTGATACAAAATATATCTTTGTCAAAGATTAAGGATAAAAAAAAAGTCTAATCGAATGATCGGACGATCTTGGAAAGGTGTTTCAATCGCGCAGAAAACACATTTATTTCTTTCCAAGAACATTTGATTTCTTGGAAATTTTTTGGAAATCGAATGTTCTTGGAAAGAAATAAATATATTTTCTGGCTATAATTATTTTGACCTATAATTATTTTTCACACGTGTTCTGATTGAACGTTTATTCAGAAGAATTGCGTTTGCTGCTCCTATAGATACATGGTCACGAGTAAAGAATTACAGGCTGGTGAAGAAATCATCACAGAAATGCCTTTTATCATCGGACCGAAGGCATGCACTTATCCGTTGTGTCTCTCCTGCTATATACCTTGGCCCCCTGAACCGGATGACAAATCGCTTTGCTCTAAGTGCGGATGGCCCGTCTGCGGTCAGGAGTGCGAGAATGCTCCGCAACATAAAGATTACGAGTGCCAAGTGAGTGAGATCAACAATCTTCAATTCTGCAACAGCTTTTCTCCAAAACGTCTTAAATCCTGCGAAAAACTGTGACCTTATAAATCTGCCTTTCTAATTAGTGAAGTGCCTTTTGAAAAGTTAAGGAAAGCTTTTTGCAATCTTCAGCATTTAAATCTATAAAAAAAATATAGATAGCAATGGGCTGTTTTTTCTTTCCTGCGGATGTTCGATATTGCGCTTTGCATATCTAAAGATCTAATTTCTTTCGACAGGTGTTTGCACAGGCGAACGAGAAGTTCAACGTAGACGCCGCCCTGGATGGGAACAGCGAAAACGGTGTTCCGCAATTAGAATGCATAACGCCGTTGAGACTATTGTTGGAGTCGGAGAGAAACGTCGAGAGGTGGAACAGGGAGGTGAAGGACATGGAATCGCATAATAAGATAAGGTGTCAAAAGAGTCAGTGGAAGTCGGATCACGTCAATATCGTGGATTATTTGAGAAAACGGCTCAAACTCGACAGGTATGTTATATATCGCGGCACTTTACTAATTCCTTCGACATCGAACTGGTGTTTTTCAAAACAAAAATATTTCGGACGCAGGTTCTCGGAGGAGTGCATACAAATGATATGCGGTATCCTGGAGATTAATACGTTCGAAGTGCGGACGGCGAAGGGGTTCGGCGCACGTGGCCTCTATCCGACAGTCGCTATGATAAATCACTCGTGCGTCTCGAACACGTCTCACAGCATCTCGCCAGTTGACTACAGGTACAGCAATTAGCAACTGTGTTGCTTATATATTTCTATAAACATAACAAAATGGAAACGCAATTGTAATTGATACATAAAACCAGCTACTACCGGCAAAAGGTCTGAGCAGTGTATTTTAAGTAGCAGCGATCTTCATTTTACTTATAGTTTACTCTTGCTACACGCTCCTTCCTCAATTAATTCGCGCGTTGCGCGCGATCCTCCAGGAAATCTCACGCGGTTTTATTATGCTGATGAAGATACCGCCCCGTATTAAATGCGAGTACAGCAATTATGCACGCGGTTCTTACGTCTACAGGATACGGCTGCGTACCACGCTTAAGGTTCCTGCGGGCGGTGAACTTTACGCGAGTTACACGCACTCGTTACTTCCGACGATGCTACGGCGAGAGCATCTGCTCGAGGGCAAGTACTTCGTGTGCGCGTGTCCGCGATGTTCAGATCCTACGGAACTGGGCACTCACATGTCCTCGCTCAAGTGCAACAAATGCGACAACGGAATTGTTTTGCCGCTGGATTCTTTAGGTATCGATATAATGCCTATTATATATATATATATATATATATATATGTATATATATATATAATGTTTTTATTTCTTATTTTCTTTAAATTATATAGAAATCAAAGATTGAAATCGGTATGTGTTTAGTTTTAGACATTATAATCGGATAATGACGATACTTATGTATATTCGCGAATAAACAAAATGTAAGAATCATCATAAAGTTTTTTCAATGTCAGAAATTGAATTTATATCGGTTTCAATATTTGGCGGTGTTATTTATATTACGACATTGACAGAAGTTTCAACTCTTTAACATTTGAGAAATAAGATGTTAAATAGCAGAAAAGAAAAGACGTAAAATAATGATCTGCTTCATCAACAATATTTTTCAGACTCGGGAAGTACGTGGAAATGTACGCATTGCGATTTTTCTACCAGCGGTCACGCAGTGCGAAAAGTTTTTCGGATTATTCAAGCGGAAGTAGACGCCGCTGAAGCAATCAGCGGAGCCAACGGAGCCGATGCGATTCACGAAAGGGAGACCGTTATGAAAAAGTACCAATCAGTTTTACATCCTCGTCATGCCTTTCTTTCAATGTTAAGGTACGAAATATAGTTGCCAGATAATAAATAATTCTCACAATGACAAATTGATTAAAATGAAAATGACAATGAAAATTGATTAAATTCGGCAAAGTCAACTTTATATCTTATTGGGTTTAATTGAGCGATCAAACGATCTCAGCGAGAGAGAGAGATGTTCGATCGTAATTATATGAAAGGTCTCGTTCGAGGCGATTATGTATAACATATATGTAGTACCGTTTTCCCAATGTCCACATGGCACCACAAGTTTTAAAGGTACCCATTTTTTCTTTTCCCATCAATCCCGCACTTCCCTGCCTCATATAGTTTAAAGCTTGACGAACTATGAAATAAAAATTACTGCGCACTTGGATTGGAAAAAGCAAAATTATTTCTGGGTAGTGCGTCTCGTACCGATCTCGTTTGAACTTACCGTTTTCCGTGTCGTCCTCCGTTGATTGCGTCGCAGAGACCATGACTTGCTTTCGTGGCTTGATTCTCTGTCACGGTTCTTTTTTAATTTTGCTAGCTTTTTACGCAAGCTCCTCACCTGTTCATTTAACACGTCTAATTCCGCGTCATCCGGTTTTTTTCTGCCATCGCAACGGCAAAACGGTATAACGAACTTTCTGTAAACTCTAAATCTGAAATGTGACACCTTCGACAGTGGACACCGATGAGATACTGTCAGGCCAGGTCGGCCTGGAGCACAGAGGGTGTATCCAGGAACGCTCAGTGAGTTCTTGCATCTGGTTTGGTCTATATAGTTTTAAATCTAGAGAAATATACCAATCAGATACAAGAACTCACTAAGCGCTTAGTGAGCGATTGCATTCCTGGATGCATCCTTCTGCATTTTATATGCCTGACCCTTAAAGACCGTCAACGGCATTAACCCTGGGGGGCCTTGGTAAATTTTCGTGCCGATTAAAGGGTCCGGGGGACCCGGAGGTAATTACACGAGTGTCAATGTTATTGATTTTTCGATTATTAATATATAAATATTTGAATAATACATTATTAAAATCATGATCGAGAAAATTTTCGATTATTAATATAAATATTTGAATAGTACATTATTAAAATCATGATTTTTATTATATAAATGCTTTATAAATAAGTACGAATATTTATAATGCTACAATATAACATTGCCGCAAAATTTTTTTCTTATAGTGTTATCGTCTCTCTGGATAATCAAATACGGATGATAACTATAAAAAATGCAGTTTTAAATAAAATTAACTATTAGCAAGATGTAATACAGATAAAATAATGTCTAAAAAAACATTGGTCTAATAATCATAAAATTAATATTATATTTAATATATGTACACCGAATCGAAGTAATACCTATCAAGCCGACACGAATCGATGTTGGTGTGTATTAATTTTTTACATTATCCAATCACACGCAAACTGCGCGCCGCATATTCGTCGGACTTGAAACACAGTTTATTATAAAAGGCACACCGGAATCCACTTGTAACAATTAAATTAACAATTATATTAACAGATATATTAAATTGACTAGCAATTTAATATATCTTTTTGATGCTAACATGCATTTATAAGAATCCCCTCCTCTCAAATCTGTAAAGATTATTGGGAAGAATATCACCACATGGTGGTCGAATGATTAGGACCCGGCAAGTAGGGAGATATTCAGCTAAGGTGATATTTTTTGCAATAAATTTCTTTACTGATTTGGACGGAGGGGATTCTTATAGATGCATATTAATATCAAAGAGATTAAATTGCTAATCAATTTAATTGTTACAAGTGGATTCCGGCCTCATGTAATAAACTGTGTTTCAAGACCTACGAATATACGGAGCGCAGTTTACGTGTGATTGGATATTGCAAAAAATTAATACGCACCAACATCTGTGTCGGCTCGATAGGCATTAATACTTTAGTATATAATATACATATATTTGATTCTTACGAGCCTAAGTCCTTCAAATTATTTTAATATTATATTATTGACAAATTGCTTAAATTTTAGCAATTGCTATAAACGCTAACTCCCAACGCTAAAAATGTCGGTCTTTAAGGCGATGCTGGCAGGTCAAAATTACTGATATTACAGTTATATGAATATCTCCGAATTGACTGAACACAATTGAAAATCCTTTCACTGCAGAATTGAAATAGACATGAAATGTAGTGATGGAACGAAGGAATTTGTAGAAACAAAAAAAAATTTCATTCCGCCAAACTTCGTGCATCCTTTTCCTACACTGCAAAATATCAATGTCCTACCTTCGTCCATAAGAGCATCTTCCTCTTTGTCCTCTTTCCGCGATGCGGTGACTGGCTTTATCAGTCAAACTGCTCCTGATTGCCCGTTCACTGTTGGCCGATTGATTCTTTCCGCTGCACACTCCATGCAGCGTGCATTTCTTTTTCCGCCACGCTTACGACGTATACACAATTCAATTATTATTGTTATTTTTGAGTTTATATTTAATTTCGTTTGCTATACCTCTGCTTCTATTATTCTGGGAAATTTCACAGCAGCTGTTAAGCTGTTGCCTCGCCAGTTTGCGTATACACACATTATTTTTTATATACTATACATATTTGTACTTTTATTCGTAATCTTATATTGTAATCCTCTTAATCGTACGCAATAAATTAAAGTAAAAATTAAATTAAGAATTAAAATATTGTTAAAAACTCCTAAATTGCAAGATATAATATTAATTCTTAGGCATTCATTGAGCCAAATGTACGGTCGGGTTGACGAGTATTTGTTGGATGATTTGCCGGATGTTGTATTAGAACACAAAGTCGATATGTGCCGCTTATTGCTTCAAGTATTGAACGTTGTGGAGCCGGGGTACAGTCGTGTAAGAGGTATATTTAAGGCTTTTTAAATACGTTTTCAATTAGAGAAAAGATGTGTGAATAACTTTTAGTGCCTTACCTTTTGACAGGTATGACGTTATACGAGTTACACGCACCGTTACTATTCTTGGCGAAAGGTCAGTGGAATGCCGGTGTCATTGACGAGGCCGGACTGAAGTCCAAAATGATAGAAGCGGCGAATATCCTAAAAGAGGCGGCTGCGATATTAAGCTTAGAGCCATCGGAGACGTCCGAGGGACAAATAGGACTCGTCGCGAAGGAGTCTATAGTTCAACTCGAACAATCCATAAATGATTTATAAGTTTGTTGTGAAACCACGTAATTTGTAAAAACTTATTATGTTAATAAACGCTATATACTTCTTGAAATTTCTCATTACCAACAGGCCAAATCGTCTGGTTATATTTTGCTTAATTATTTGCTAAGAAAAATGATTTCATGAAGCAAATAGAAGAGAAAATTCTATCTAAAAATGTTTACATGTAATTTGCAAGAATTTGTTACAATAATAAACATATATAGAAATACGTATAAAGAAAAATGATTTCATAAAGCAACTAGAAGAAAATATTGTATCTAAAATTTTTGTATCTAAAATTTACATTTAATTTGCAGGAATTTGTTACAATAATGAATGTATAAAGAAATATATAACAAAAATCAAAAATAGAATGACTTAGAAAAAATATCCTGAATATTTTAAATATACACATAAATATTTTAATTTAAAAAGTAATGTAATATAAATTATAACGTATTGATTATTATTTAGTTATTTTCACATAGAGAATTATAATAAGAGAATGGAAATTAAGGAGATAAAGAAAAATATTTATGCAATATTTTTGATTACGTAATAAATGTATGAAGTATGTGTGCAAAAAATTTACATATTAAGATTTTTCAGTATTATGAGTTTTCAACGAGATATTTTAAAGAGTACTAGACATCTACTTTCTCTTATTGTAATAATTATAATTGCTAGAGCGATTAATTAAATTTGACGTTTTGTTAAATAAAAATAAAGAAATTTGCATTGTTACGTTGTAACTGCCAATGCATGCATCACGTTCCGTACTAACATTACAGATTGCGCGCGATGCCACGCGGTGTCTAATAATACAGCGCGTCGCGTGAGTGCCTGAGGAAGACGGTTCATATTACTGATGCCTGCTTGCCGATGCCAGTTACGGGTCGGCAATCGCTAACTTGAAGGAAGTTATCTGGAGATATGACGCCCACTGCGAAGTATAAGGTTGCGCATTCGAAAAAACTTGGAAGGTACAGTCATAATACTAATATGTCTCTTCGCGTAATTTATTCACGTATTAACTATCGTATAATTATTGTCATTATACGACCAAAGTCACGAAGCACAAATTGTGCGCATTTAAAAATATTGTCTTGTTTGCATACACTTTTTGTTTTATAATTGATTTTTTCTTTGTCTTTTATTAAATAATTTTAAAAAGTGTAAAGATAACAAAAAAGAGAAATTAATTCTTTAATATGCTTATGATTTTATTATTACACTTTTTATTTTGTAATTATTTTTTTCTTTGTCTTTTATTAAGTAATTTTGTAATCAACAAAAAGTGTAGAGTTAACAAAAACAAAGAAATTAATTTTTTATATGCTTATGCTATTTTTTATACGCTTTTTATATACTTTCAGCCTTAAAATAAATTTGACATTTTTTTTATTTTTACAAAGTAAATACATTTGCGCTATATAAGCTTGAATTTTGCATCGTAATTATTTTTAAAAATTATATATCTTTTGTTCGTATAAAGATATCTCGTAACAGCTAAAAACATAGCAGCGGGAGAAGTTATAATTCGAGAGGAACCGATCGCGGTCGGTCCGATGGTGTACAAGAAGGATTGTTTCTGCTTTGCCTGTATGCGCACGTTACCAAAAATTAGCGAGGGAAGATACGTTTGTTCCAGATGTAACTTTGCACCGCTGTGCAGCGTAGCATGCGAGGTAACAATAAGTTGTGGAGCACGTTACATCGGCGATTCTCTAAGAGACGTCTGAGAAAGAATTTGTTATCGCATGAAAGAAAGAAACATTTTCGCACGATATCCTTGATAAAACTTAAACTTGCCTACGAGCAAAGTTATTCGTAAGAAATGTACGCGACCAGTGAATTGTACGACATTTGCTCATCCAAGCAGAACACAAAAATAAAGTTTGAAAATCGCTGCGTTGCGTAATGCTGCGACACTTTCAAAGAAAGTAGCATTTTTAATCTTCTTTTTTTTTCTTTCAAGGTGCGAACGAATCATCACACGACTGAAGAATGTCAAATATTTAGAGACAATCGAGATCTACTGGCAGAGAGCAAAATTGATGCGGCAGGAATTTTACTGGCCTTGCGGCTATGGATAATAAAACACAAGAATTCAGTTGTGTGGGAGAAAATAGATTGTATGGAGACTCATTTGGATAAGAGGATCGACACGCCCGTCTGGAGGGACAGACAAGTCAATGTCGTAGATGTGAGTTTCGCATAAATCAGATTTTTACATGTATTGAACGTTTAATCTAATCCACCTGGATTCTGCGTGAATCTCTCTATGTGATACGGCGGATCAACAGATCGTCCTTCGGCGTGATATGCCCATTAATATTCTGCAACGAGTATCGTTAATTGTATTAGCTTTTCTGTCTTCTTCGTATACATATATGTAAAAGAAAAAAAATATTTTATTCACGGAGGGCGCCGTTACTCTTTATATCGCTTATGCTTATATTGGTGGTGCGAACTTTTCTTCGTATATCATATTACATTTATATACCATTCGTTCCTACGCTTCACCTTTCCTTTCTATCACTCGCGTCAAGATAACTTTGTGAATATTAAATGTAATTTTATTATTTATATCCCGGCTGCGAATTGCGATGCTTCTGCACCTTCTTGCCTACGAGCTTATACTCTGCACTTAGTATACGTCTCAACCTGCCGAGTGATCGGGTGATCTTTTAATCGTTCGTGTGCTCATAATCGCAATTATGCATTTTCGCGAACTGTTCCCTCTATATTACCAGTATCGCGGAGGATGGTTTACACGGCGATGTAGTGTTTGAAGATAACTTTGTAAATATTAAGCGTACACGGAAAGAACGATTTTGTTGAAAGATCTAAAAATTTTGCTAAAAACAGATCTGAAAAGAATTTTTTGTTGAATCATCAAAATAATTTGTTGGAATGTTAAAACAGATAAGCATTGCTATAAAACGTTTTGATATTCTAGCAATCACTTTGACTTGCACAAAATTATTTTGATTATTGAACAAAAGTTATTTTCAGATCTGGATTCAGCAAAATTGTTCTTTCCGTGTAATTTTATATCCCGACTGCTGTGCTTCTGTAACTTTTTTGCCTACGAGTTTATACTCTGCAGTCTAATACGTCTCATTCTCGACCATCGGATGATCTTTTAATCGTTCGTGTAGTCATATAAGTCGCAATGCATTTTCGTGAACCGTTCTCTTGGATATTACCTATATTAGCATCGCGAAGGATGACTTATTCGGCGATGTAGTGTTTGAAAATGATTTTAAATATATTTCATGGTGTTACCGGTGCCTAATCTAGTGATGAGGAGGAGAATGATTTCAGTGATTACTTGGGTGATGATCCCATTGTGCGGTATACGTACCTATTACGTGATACAGGCAATCCGAAGGCTTCGCGTGCCCACTGAGATTGAGCCGCCGAGCACGGAGTTAATGCAGAAATTGTGCGCAATTTTGGATGTGAATGCCTTCGAGTTGCGATCACCTGGCGCCGTTGACGGTCTTCTTCTACGAGGTCTATACATCGAGGCGACTCTGATGGCTCACGACTGCAGGGGCAACACTCATCTCACCGTGGACGACAATTTCCAGCTGACTGTTTACGCGAGCGTGACGATCAAACAGGACGAACCTATCCTTTTCAATTATACCTCGTCGCTGCTGGTCAGTTTTACTTACATAAATATAAGAAAATTAATATTTCACTAAATAATTCTTTGTTAAGATTTCAATATTGCTCGACGATTCAATTAAAGTTCCCAGGTAGCACGTATTCGTTTCAGAAAAGTTTCCTAACCGACTCTTGAAAACTTTTCTGAGCGAGTGGTTAAAATGTCCACTTAAAAAACGTTTTAAAAAACGTTTCTTTTTTTGATAAAAAAAAACGTAGAGAAATATAATCGAAATATCATTGTTCCTTTATTTGTGAAAAAATCTGCGCATTCGTTCTTTTCAAGCAAACTTTTTCAGGTAGAGGAAAAATGATATTTCGATTATATTTCTCTACGTTTTTTTTTTTTACCAAAAAAGAAACGTTTTTTTTTTAACATTTTTCGCATGGACATTTTAACCACTCAGAAACGTTTTCAAGATGCTATCTGGGTTGCATTCAATATTATCTAACGATTTAATTAAAAGTACATCTTTTTATTAAAAAGATGTTTCTATCATCGTTAGATCTAAAAGAGATTCTCATCATTATATGATATACAATAATATGTGAACTTGAAAAATATATTTCCTTGTTTTATATAACGATATCAATATATTTAATCAGGGTACGGCTGACAGGAAAGATCATCTTCGAGAGGGAAAGTACTTCGAATGCGAATGCTCTCTATGTACAGACCCATACGAATTGCAGTCGCATTTGAGTAGCGTGTTATGCCCGCGTTGTAAAAAAGGATTCGTAGGCATACAAGATACGTCCATCGTCGATCCGTACGAGCGCAGTCGATGGCAATGCCAGATGTGCAAGAGGACCTATGGCGGTCGTCTTATCAGAGCTACGTTGAACATATGTAGAACACTTATCGATGAATGTGAGGAGGACGCTGACATAAAAGTTCGTGACTTTACAAATCAGAAATATATTTAGAATTTTATATATATATTTTTTTTCATAATCATTACAGTAATTTAATATATTTTTTAGAGAATAGATGACTTGCTTAAAAAATTATCCCGATCGCTGCATACCAATCATTTTCTAATATTGTCTTTAAAGCAGAAATTGTTGACGGCCTGTAGAAAAGAAATAACATCTCCCAATCCTCAGAAAAAGGTTGTGCAAAAGATGTTGGATACGTGCAAGGAAGTCTATAATGTCTTAGATATAGTAGAACCGGGCATATCGCGTTTAAAAGGTAAAAGGAATTATTGTTCATTTGATTCTAATTATATACTGCATAATTTTCTAACAAATTAAAAATATCTGGAAAAAATAAGAAGATATTTTGATATTTAAATTTTATAAAATTACTTTTATATACAATTATGAAAAATTTTACAGTATTATAAATATCGATTTTAGGCATAATGTTGTACGAGATGCATTTGCCTATAATAATATTGGCGAATCGATCTTATTCTGCGCGTGAGATCTCTTCAACGCAGTTGGCTTGTCAACTGGAAGAAGCCAGAGATCTTCTAAAGAAAGCTCTGACTATGCTTCTTTTGGAACCGCCGACCACGCCAGAAGGGAAATTGGCTAAGAGAGCGCTGGAAGAATTACGGACGTTAAATCAGAATATAAGCGACGTTAAATCCTTACCGCTGGAAGAGCCCAAAGTCCATGTGCGTAAAACGAGAGAACATCGTAAAAAAATCAAATGACATCTCGTCCGATTCATTATTTCTAAATTTGAAAAATGGTTATTTTTCTCATAAAAAATGCAATACCGATAACATATTACATATATGTATTTAAATAAACAAAATTTATTTATCTTTGAATTTAATATTATTTTTTCTTTATTCCTTAATAATACATCAAAGGGATATAAATGAGTGAATTTTAACAATCATAATATAGCTTTATGTATAGCTTTACAAAAAAATTTTTTTTACATAAACACACAACTATTACAAATGTTTTAAAAGATTCATAACTATAAAATGTAATGAAAATTATTGTATAATTTGAATATATCCCATTTTATTTAAGAAAACAATTTCAAAAAACAAATTTCTTCGAAGAAAAATCGTTATGAAAATAATCGTTGGAACTTAACTGTAGTGAAACTAAAACTTTATTTTAATTTTCACTACTTCAGATATTTAATCTAAATAATTCTTCTTTATACAGTCATTATTTATGTTATTAATGATTGTGTAGTTATCACATAATGCTGTATCGTAGACATGAACAGTTTTTTTTTTTATAATAAAAGACAACATGTATTTGTATTTGTAGTGTATCTTTCTATCTACATAGATTTAATAAATACATTCATACACGCACACAAAATTTTAATCTCACGGTTGGAGAAATAAGTAACACTCCGGAATTCTAAAATCGTGTGTATATATATAATGTACTGTTTTATATAGAAAAAAATGTGCCAGCGCACAACTAGTTGTAAATTTTTCAAAGTTTTTCAATTCACTCGTTTCATTTTGTATAATAACAACAATAAAAATAAGATACAAATTGTAGCATTATTCACTGCTCACAACTTCTTCTGTTCAATATTGCCACTAGACCTGCAATCGGCATCATTTAAACAGCTTCCATATGCAAACATTCTTGGAATGTCTTGTCCGTAATATATTTTGGTATTGTGCGCCAATGACTCATACTTCTTGAGCTCTAAGTATTCCTTGGACAAAAGTAGCTGGTTTGCATCAGCTTGCATTTTTATCTGGTAAAATTCGGCATCCGAATGGCTCTTTTCTCTTGCTAAATGCATCTCGTCCTCTATCGCAGCCATTTGCTGTAGAGATTTTTTCTCCATAATCTTTTGACCATATTGGATTTTTGCAACTTGCGCTTCCTTCTCAGCTTCAATGACGGCCTTCTTGCGATCGGTCTCGGCATCTTTCTCCACTACTTTCTGATGTTGCGTAGATATTAACAGCTTCGTTTTCTCTGCTTCCCTGGACAGATCGATATATAGTGTGAAAATAAGTTTATATATAAACTAAAAAAATATAAAGAGAAAATTGAATCCTAAAGAAACTTAATAGAATAGTCACTTACATTAATTCATAGTTCTTCCTGATTGCTTCGGGAATTTTTGGCTTCGTTACTCTTACAGCTTGTATGCTAAGCCCAGGCGCCAATTCATTCAAATCTCTTTGAAGTGCAGTCTTCAGATTCTCATCAATTTGATCAAATAGATCTATGTATACTTCGTGTAGTGAATGTACAGAACAAAATTGATTCAATTCATGATGGATCTTGTTGAAAATCAAAGTGCGATCGTAATCCGCTGTGAAATTCCTCACCATGTTGTAAACTAGGGCCAAAAATTAATAGCTACGTTAACAAAATATACAATACAACTACATTCTCAAAATCTGCTCCACAACTTACCACTGTTTGCATCCAATATATTTACAACTTCTATACGATCAAAGTAGATGATAACCCCGCCGCTGGTTCCACATGGCACGTTCTTCACCTCGTCTGTCTGCAGAGTTACTTGTACCGAACGATACGTGGTCAGAAATGGTATCATCATGTGAAATCCTGGACTGCTCACGTAAGGCAGTAGCGCGCCACCCTGACAAATATTCATTCAGTTAAAAGGGACGAGACCACCCTGTGAAGATAGTTGAGGAAAGGTTTGTTGTCTGCAAGCAAGACACTCACTCGAAAGTACACCCCCACATAGCCCTCCTCGATGCGATGAAGGGAAAAGTTAAATACTATGGCGAAGCCCACGAAGAAACAGATCGCTACTACTTTTTGATCCAACATAGTCGCCCGTTTTACAAATACGCTGAAAAATACACGAAGAAGGGTATAAGATCAGATGCCACACACCTATTACAGTACATGCAAAATATACGTCATGTGGAATGAACGCACGAGGGTGAATCACGGGGGTTCGAGCGGCTTGAAATAACAGTATCGCGGCGAAGGGACAGTTACGTAACGCGCGAACATAAAACGATAATTATATAGCGTACAATTAGCAAATCCACCGGTCGCTGGCACGATTCCCCGAAATTCAATGCACTATCAAGAGAGGTTATCTTTTCGGCAGTAGCATCTAGCGGGCGTAATATCTAGATCCAGAGGACGGAAAAAGTGCGTGTTACAAAGCAGCAATAGATATGTGATTACAACGACAGATTACAACGTGGCCCGCTAAGTCCATACAAGTTCATATTTGCAAAATAAATCCTTCGACATTACTATATCTCATCCGGTAGCCATAGCGCATTCTCTCGACTTCTTCAATAAAGATATATATCGACCTGAGATAACGTTAATATACGGAATCGTCGGAAACGACGGAAACTATCAATTTAAACTTTTTAAAGGATATGTATATATGTATATAATTAATATATATCGTTAATTAATTATATATATTGTTACAGGCCGGTTCCACTTTTTTGAAAAAACTATGTGGTAATTTAATGGTAATCTAAATAAATTATAGTTTATGCGACAGTACTGGAACACAACTGGTGCTACATTTTCATTCTCCTTTTAGTAAACGAATTTTTTGTAAAGCCAATAATAAATTGTAAAACGTTGAAAATTGTTTTATATACAATACGATATACATATATTATATGCAAAGATGTCAAATTAATTCGATAAAATAGCATCATAAATAATAAATAACTATTGTAGAATTGTTAATTCTAACAATTCTTATAAAAATAAAGGATTATAATGTTTGCTTTAAAACAATATTTTAAATCATATATCGAATAAATTTTAATCGTTTTTAATTGATAGATCAATCGACCTTTTTCGAGTTATTGACAAATATGTTCTTTGCAGCTGAATTTTTGTACTTTTTCATCTATTCTCTTTTTCTATCTAACGTCCAATTATGTGCCTGTTTCATTTTAAGTGTAACAGCACTCTGTGAGTGCATCTACAAAGAAACAGATCATCTGTCATCTGATACAGCTGATACAAGATAACGAGGTTAGGTTTCTGAAGTGACGTTGACTTGACATGATGACAGTGATATACACATAATTATTAGATAATTTAATCCTGGCGTGTATTTGTTGTTTAACGTTTCTGTCGTGATTTATCCAAAAAAAATGGAAGTCAAGACGAAGAGTGAACATTTGCTAGCCTTAAAAGGTAATGTGTCGCGAAGCAGTAAGAATTATGTTGCTTTTGAACTTATTTTAAACTACAAACTATTACTGTATAGTCATTTTAATGTGCGTGCAACAATTTTCTAATGCAAATAAATAATACGGAAGAGAATTCTTTATATCAGTTAATGAAACTGCAAATTGTTTTCTGCAGTAATGAGATTGACACGACCCACCCTGGCTAGTCCCATGGTTGTCACGTGCGATTCTACAGATTTACCAGGCAATACGTTAAACAACGAACTTAAAACCGATTGCACGACATTGCACGGCATGGAGGCACTCGCTATAGGGCAATTTATGGTGTTGCCTCAAAGTTTTGGGTATGTTTCTTGACCAGGAATTTTTTTTACGTTTAATCACAACAAATCACAGCCTGCGGTGTTTCTACAATATTGAATGTGATGTTTATTATTTCAGAAATATATATTTAGGAGAGATATTCTCCAGTTACCTATGTGTTCATAATGGCAGTAATCAAGTGGTAAAAAATGTAACTGTAAAAGTAAGTTCAAATTACATAGGAATTTGTCTTAAGATAACGATCTTATTTGACATTACATTGTTATATTTTATATTTTTTAACATTGTACGTTTCTGCATTTTTTTAAGGCAGATTTACAAACAAGCACACAAGTAATTCCACTCTCCAGCAATAACCTAGAAGGGAAAGAATTAGCACCTGATAGTACGGTGGATGAAGTTATTCATCATGAGGTTAAAGAAATAGGTACACATATGTAAGGATATTTATAAGTTTCTTGTATAAAAAGAATTTATTTTTACCTTCAAACGGAAAACATATCTTTCTTGTATCTCCAGATTAGTTTGTGAAGTGTCTTATACAAATCAGATCGGACCCCCGCTGTCATTTAGAAAGTATTTTAAGTTCCAAGTGGTTAAGCCGTTGGATGTGAAGACCAAATTTTATAATGCAGAGGTAATATTTAGATTTTCAGTTATATTAATGCTATTATATATGTGGGATATTAGGATAACTCATGCACAGATTAATAATAAATTAAGGAAATAACTTTAATGTATCTAATTTTTACATTTCGATCATAAATCTTGCAACTCACAGTTTTCAACTCACAATTCGTAACTTGTAATTCACTTTGAAACTCGTCACACGCTTAATTCGCAAATTTCTTAATGCTGATCTCTTTGTGACTATTGTTGTCAATGTCATACTTTCTCTATCAACAATTTACTCCGTCTCTGTTCTTTCATTCCTTCGTGCTGATCGAGATTCCGATATGCGACTTCCTTTTAGTCATCAGAAAAGCTCAGCCAGATGAAACTAAGCAAAACATAAACTAATTAATGCTGGCTGCTTTCTTGATTAACTCCAAAAAACTCTTGATTTATGTAACACGTCGGCTTGCGTCGCAAAATGTGTATACTTATTCCCACATATATTAATGTTCTTATTTTGTTACTTTGGCAACACGTTTTCATGATAATATTTTTTAAAGTCAGGTGAGGTATATCTCGAGGCACAAATACAGAATCTAACAGCTGGGCCAATTTGCTTAGAGAAAGTTGCCCTTGAATCGTCCCACTTATTTAGTGGTAAGTTCACACTGATTATAACGTTGACGAAGAGTCTTAAACTCAAAAAACACGTCGTATTTTAGTGACTACGTTGAATACGAACGACGAGGGAGAATCTATCTACGGAAGTGTAAATCTATTAGATACGGGCTGCAGTAGGCAATATCTGTATTGTTTAAAGCCACAGTCGAGCTTGTTGAAAGATCCGAAAATGATGCAAAATGCTACAAATATTGGCAAATTGGACATCGTGTGGAGGAGCAATTTGGGAGAGAGAGGAAGACGGCATACGAGTCAATTGCAGAGAATGGTATGTTGAATTATTCTTCAACGAGTACGATTATATATAAAATTACGCACCAACGTTTGTCACAGGCACCCGAGAATGGCGATCTGAAGGTTATCATAAAGGATATTCCTTTAAAGGCTTATCTTGAAGAACCAGTTAATTGCACATGTCATATAATAAATACATCGTAAGTGCGATTGTGCAATGCAAAGGTGCAAAAGTAGAATTATTGCGAATATAATAATCATTCCTTCACTTCTTTGCACAGAGAAAGAAGTATGGAATTATTACTCAGCCTAGAGTCGAATGACTCCGTAGCTTGGTGCGGGATGTCTGACACAACAATTGGCACGCTGAAACCCGGAGCTTCCATGGACATACCTCTCTGCTTCATTACACTGGACACAGGCATTATCGTGAGTGATTTACTTACCGGGATTGCGGGGATTTTGACGCACTTTACTAAATATTATTCTCTTACAGACAATTTCCGGTTTAAAACTTACGGATACGTTTTTAAAAAGGGTCTACGACTACGACGACCTGGCACAAATTTTCGTAAATCAATTGGATTGAAAAATACGCATGTAACAAGAGCTCTTTTATCAACTGCATGGCATTTATTATTTATAAACATAATAAAAATTGCAAGATATTCTTACAAAAATAAATGTTAATATGGATGTATGTTAGAATTACTTTAACGTGAGAGAATGCTTATAAATATTCATCCATCGTTGACATCCTTTCAATTTCACTGACTGCCCCTACCGCACATGCGAGTAACGTTTGAACGTCTCGCGGTTCATTACCACCGAAAACGTACCCATTGGCTTTATCTATCGCATTCTTCACTTGCAGCAGCAATGCTTTGTTAGTAACGTCCAACGGTATAAAACTAACGAGACTGTAGTCTTCGATTATTGATACTAGCGCAGTATTAAGTTTTTTGTACCTGTGAAATATTACACGTGTAAAAGTACTCTGTGTATTTTCGGTTTTAGTGAAATATTTTCATTTAGCTATATTTAACTTACTTTGCAGTAAAGGGATTTTCGTCCAACTGTTCCAAGAGATACTCTAAATTCAGTACTTCGGTGTAAAAATCTATATTGAATGCTAGGCGATCGCTGAACTTTTTCATCTCGTCAAACTTTGTCATAATGTTTACATGAGGTAAACCTATTTGTAGCATCGTTGTTGTGCAAAGAATTAGAGAGGACAGGTATTTTCCTATAAATTATAACGATTACATTCAGCAATGAAATTAATAATTTATCGTTTATTTAATTAGTTCGAATGAATATTAATATGTACCAGGATCGCTACAATGATGCGAATCCACAAGATGTACGCTGCATAGTCTCACTAAATTCTGGTTCAATTTCTCGGCAATTTGGCTCACTGATTTATGATGCGTGTATAACTCAACCTATCGCATTAATTATTACAATTTATTATTTGGCACTAATCAAATTAAAAAAAAGGAATAATCTAAGAGAAACGACTCACTTGACCAGGGCAATCAAAAATAAGGTAATGATCCTTTAAATTCAAAACTTTTGTGATAAGCCAATTGACGTTAGTTTCTAAGAATTCCATGCAATAAACTAAAGCACCATTTGGTCCAAGTCCTAAGTGCGCCATGACCTCTTCATGTTTAATTAATTCAGATATATCTGCCGCCGGAGTATATTCCATATTTTCGTTTGCCGGATCTAAAATGTAACACAATCATTTGCGTTTGTGTCACACATACAGAAAGGAAGCAACTGAATTAATATACCGATATTAATAACTGCCACTTTTCTCCCCATGGTCTCCAAGAATTTGGACATTGCATTGCAATATGTTGTTTTCCCACTACCGGGTGGGCCGATAACAAGCTGACCAAAGATCAAACTCATTGTTTCAACTAATGTTACATTACCATGATTTTATCTGATTTATAGCAGCGACAATGGATTTCAAAGACTCCAGGTCATAATCTTTCAGTGCTATTGACAGTAGTAATGGTTTCTCAATGTTAATCTGTTGAGCTATGTATCTGGCGGCTAGATGAACGTCATTGTTGTCGCTGCCAAAGATTGTCCTGGAAATTTTTATTAAACAGATGTAACGCATTAAACAATTATAAAGTGTTGTAGGTACATTATGTTCGAATAACTGTAGCGATTACATCCGGATTCCTTGTGCCTCGAATTTTATTTTGCTATAATACTGACTTTCTTTATCTCATTCTTAAACTATGTATTAATGCACTCACAACGTCCCCCCTCCCACCCCACGTTCATTGTATGTCATACCGATCAGCTGATCGGAGCATTTCGAAAATAACCGAATTCTCGCAAATAGCACTAACTTTTCAGCCTTTTAAGCAATGGTTTTTCGAATCAATCTTCGTTCGCATATTAGATAGACACGGTCTTTAAATGATTTCTCTCAAATCTTCTAGTTCGATGCTCTGTATGCGTTCAAATAAAGTTAATAAAGTAATCATTTATACAAATTAAATTCTGACTAATCATTTTAAACCGCCTATTCAACTAAACTCATACTTTAAATTACATTACGATAATTATGATCACTGTATTGTTATCACAATTATGTAACTGTTACAATTACGTTATTACTTACTTTATCGTGAATACATCGCTACTGTAACCATTCACGGCGGATTCACGATTTATTGTCAACAACGTTCCAAACTTTTTGAAGTGCGTTACGATCAGCAGCGTCCGATTGCTGTAAAAATGAAAAAGTAAGCACGATAAACAAAACCGTCTTCCAAAA